GAGCTCTGCTCTTGTGCTCTGTTGGTTGTGGGCAGTGAGCCTAGCTCCCACCAACAAGTGTGCAGAGGCACACCACTCAGCCAACAGTCCTCCTTCGTGAAGGCTGTTAGTTCTCTTGCTCCATGGGTTGGCACACGCACTGTAGCCACCTTTCTCCATGGACCAAGAAGCCTATCCCACCATCTTATGCCAGTCTTCTGATTCCCACTGTCTTTTGCTGTTGTTGCTGCCTACATTGCTTTAGCTCCGTCTTCTGGGTCTGGCCTTGGGTACAGAAGTGTTAACCTACTTGCTCTTCTTCCATCTTTTTTATTAGCTTTTTGTTATGATTGGAGGGAAAGTTTATAGAGCAAATTGGATTTCCATTCAACAGTTCATACACGTTGCATTTTGTGACATTGATTGCAATCCTCACACTGTAATAGCACTCTTCCCACTTCCTTCTCCTTATCCTTACTGTTTCTGATCACTTCCTGCGGTTTGGGCTTTATCCCTGGGTAAATTCTTCCCTCTCTGTCTCCTGTAGTTAATTGTTCTAAGGAGTAGTACCTCCTTGGTGTTATTGCTCCCCTCATAGACCAGTCTACCATTTGGCTGAAAGTTGAGCCTTGGGGATGAGTTTGGTTCCAGGCTTGGAGGGTGTCTACTAAGAGCTTCAGTCTCAGGGATTCTACCAGTTTCTATCAGCCTGGTCTTTTTTATGATTTTCTGGTTTGAACATTTTTCTTCAGAACCTCCTATTGTGATCACTTTCAGAGTGGTTGGCACCAATTAGTTCTTCAGGTATCAGGGGCACAGATTTGCATGGTCTGTTGTCCTTGTGACTAATTATTTTCATGTGTTGTATATTTTCTTCATTCTTTGCTTCAGATGTGGAGAGACCAATAGTTGCACTTTAGATGGCTATTGACAAGCTTTTATGACCTCATTGTCTAGTCACCAAAGTTCTGTTGTTAAGTGCTGTCAAGTTGGTTCTAACTCCTAGCAACCCTTTATAGGGTTTCTGAGGAGCAGCTGGTGGATTTGAACTGCCTGCTGACTTGTGTTTCACAATCTGGTGCTTCTTCTACAGTACCATACCAGAGTAGACATGTAAAAATTGTCTTTGTGGACTATGATATGTGGTTGACCTTGCTGTACCCTGCCACCATGGTCCTGACCGCTCTTGATGGTAGTGATGTTCCCCTCCAACCTATGAGATTGACTCCCTTTAAGCCAAGCAGAATAGCACAACTGAACAATTCTCTATAAAGGTTCCATGTACCTTATTTGCTTAGCCCCACCTCTGCAAGGCTTTCATGCATCTAATTTGCATTATGAGATTATCCAATCCTTTTGATGGGTCACACACACCTTAGTTTCATAGTCTCTCCTGATCCTTTTGTCAGAATTCAAGATCGTGGCCAAGAAACACCATGTAATAGCAGTTCACTATACTGCAAGTATGAACATGATACTGTGAAAACACTGACTTATCCTTCTAGATTACTTTTTACTCATCCTATTGTAAAAACTTCACAAGTTTGTTTGTCTACAAGATTGTAAAGAACATGAATGAGTTTTTTGCATAATGACATTTCTTACAGTATATTGATTGCTATGTAAGATGTACTTAATGTTTCTTGAGTTAATAACTGTGTGAATGGTATCTCCAGCCACGCTATACTTAACCTTAGTCTTTGGTTATTCTCCATATGTTTTTTAATTCTTTACATTCATACATGTTTCCTTTGCAAAATACTCTCCATGTCATCTCTCTCCCTTTACTGTGGATAGTCGTTTTTGTTTTGTTTTTTTAAATAATGCTTCATTGTGTTTAAGTTGAAAGTTTATGTAGCCAGTTTGATTGCCGTTTAACAATTTGTATACAAATTATTCAGTCATATTTTTTATAATGTGTTATTTTCAATCATTCCGTTATGGTTGTACCAATTCAAGTACTGTAGTTTCTCTGCCCCCTTTACCCTCTCATCTTTGCTTTAGAATACATTTTGACCATTTGGTTTATAAAGATAATGTTTTAAAGGAGTTCATTACTCACAGTTAATACTTTTTTTTTTTTTTTTAATATATATATAAGCCAATCTGTTACTCAATTGAAAGGTGACCTTAAGGGATCATTTTAGTTTAAGATTTAAAAGGTATCTTAAGGAGTCCTGGTGTGGTGCTGTGGGTTAATGAGCTGAACTGTAAGGTTGGCAGTTCAAGGTCACCAGCTGCTCCTTGGAAATCCTGTACAGGGTCACTGTGGGTTGGAGGCGACTCGACAGCACTTAACAACAACAACTTAAGGCAGTTGTATTGGGGAATCCTCTAGTTTGAACCAGTCCTTTAAGTCTAGACTTTTTAAGACTTGAATTCTGTTTCACACTTTTCTCCTGTTCCGTCAGGATTCAACTATTGTGGCCTTGATCAGAACTATTGTTAGTGGTAGCCAGGCCCCATCTAGTTTTTCTGGTCTCTCACATAGATGAGGTGGGGCTTGTAGACTGTTGGTCCTGTAGACTTTTAGTCTCATAGACTACATTTTTCTGAGTCTTTGGCTTCCATCTTTATCTTTTTATTCTTTTTGAATAGAGGCTAATAGTTGTATCGCAAAAATTCTTTTAAAACCCCAGCTAATACTCACTACATTAGGATGTAGAACATATATTTTATGAACTATACTATGCCATCTAAGTTAATTGTGACTCACAGCTGTGATCCTAAGCCATGAAACCCAGAAAATCAGTTTCCTGAGATATTTGGTTATATCTAAGAAGAATTCCTAACTGTCCCTTAGGTGTATTATTATATATATGAATATACATGTGTGGCACTGTAGACTCAGCCCTGGACTGTGAACAAGGTCGGCAGTTCAAACCCACCAGCTGCTCCTTGGAAATGCTGTACAATGTCATTATAAGTCAGAGCCGATTCCACAACACTTAGCAACAAAACACGTGTACCTGTATAGCCATATGCCTATAGGTACATCTATCTGTATACATATATATGTCTGTACACATTTTGTGTAACCATACACACATATATATATATATGGCTTTTATTGTGAAGTGAGTGATAGTTTACATGGGAGAACATCGATTTTGCACTCATCCTTTAGTGTTTTGTGTCATTGCAGTGATTACAATCTCCTTCATGTATCATCATTTAATAGTATTTGCTTTTATTCCCACTGTTGTTGTTGTTGTTGTTTCATTTTGTTTTTTGAGTGATACAAAAACACTCAGGAATATATAAGCATTTAAGCAACCAAAGGGCACATTCTGCAAGCCTGCCACCTAGCCACCAGTACACAGCCTTTCTCTTTCCATGAGTCATACACATATTTTTTGGTTGTTGTTAGTGTACTTTAAAAAAAAATAATGTGTTGTATGTGAAAGTTTACACAACAAATTAGGTTGTATTTAACAGTTTTATACAGATTGTTGTCTGCCGTTGGTTATTATTTTCACAATTGGTCAGCATTCTCATTAGTTCCATTCTGTTTCCATTGATACAGCTTTCCTTCTCCTCCTCACCTCAGTCCTGCTTTGGGGTTAATTAATTTGACTGTTTGGTCTCACATAGTTAATTGTTTATGGGAATTACTCACCAGTGATGTTGTTTATTTTATAATCTATTAGTTGGCTAAAAGGTAACTTCCAAGAATAGCTTAAATTCCAAATTCAAAAGCTATTTTAGGACAATAGTCTTAGGGGGTTTCCTGTATTTTCTATCAGTTCAATAGGTCTGGATTTATTTTTGTTAGAAATTTAAATTTTGCTCTACATGTTTCTCCCATTTTATATGGAACCTTGTACTGTTTCCCTGTTAGAATGTATGGTAGTGGTAGATTAGATGAGACTGTGGTTCATGTGGGCTATTGACTTTGTAGTCTTGTGGGCTATTAGTTTTGTAGTCTGGTTTCTACTTTGAGACTTTGATTTCTTTTCTTTTCTTTTTTTTTGGTATTGATTTGGCTGAGAGTTTCCAGAGCAAATTGGTTTTCTATTCAGTAATTCATACACATCTTATTTCACACTGATTGCAATTCCCACAATGTAACAGCAGCACTCTTCCCATTTCCTTTTGTGTACCATTTTCATTTGTCCTTTTTTCTTATTCCTTCTTACCTTTTGAGCTTTATTCCAGGGCAGATGGTCTCATATGGTTGGTTGATTGTCCTAAGGACTACATACCTCCTTGGTGTTATTGTTGAACTTGTTGGTTGAAAGTTGAGGAACTTTTGATGTCCTTCATTCTTTTTTCCTCCATACAGGAAGAGATCAGTGGTTATACTTTAGGTGGCCATTCACAAGCTTTTAAGACCCCATTGCTATTCACCAAACTATTGTTTTTCCATTCATCTTTGAGACTTTGATAGTATTTGTCTGGTAAATATTTATAAAGCTATTCAACCAAGGAAGGTTTATATCGCTGTATTGTCTTGTGCACAAATTACTAATTATCTTCTCTTTACTCTTTTTATTAACATACCAGGAACTGTTAACATGTGTAATATGACCTCAGTGATTACATTTGAAGCTTTAAAAGTAATAAGCAGCCATTATATAATGTGAATGATGTTCTACCAGTCATTGAAAGGTTATTTTGGAACAAAGTACAATGCTCCTTGAAGCCACCTACTGACTTTACTCTTGTTATTGTTGTTAAGTGCCATCGAGTCGATTCCAACCCATAGTGGCCCTGTATAGGGTTTCCATGAAGCTGCTGGTAAGCTTGAACTGCCGACCTTGCAGTTTAAATGGTGCATTAACCCACAGCGCCACACCAGGACTCCAACTTTACTCTTTGCTGTTGTTGTTGTTAGTGCCATGGAGTCAGTTCCAACCAATCGAGACCCTGTATAGGGTTTCTGAGGAGCAGCTTGTGAGCTTGAACCACTGGCTTTGCAGTCTGGCCCATTAACCCACATGCCACACTACGACTCCAACTTTACTCTTAGGCTACTAATATATAGATAAACAATAATTTGTTTTTCACTCTTCCACCAGGTGCCAATGAACTGGCTGTGCAGAAAGCGAAAGCAGAAATCACCAGGCTTATAAAAGAAGAACTGATTCGACTGGTGAGTGAAACCTCAAGGATTTGCTTTGACATAGTACAGAAAGTTATACGAAATACAAAACATACAGCTTGATGAATTTCCACAAAGTGAACACACTATTGTAGTTTCTAACCAGTTCAAGATACCTAGATGATCAGCATCCCAGAAGGCTCCCATAATACCCCTATTCATCTCCCAAATGTATCCGTATTCTGTAGATTAGTTGTGCCTGTTTTTGAATTTCATATAAATGGAATCACATGCTTATACTCTTCTATGTCTGCTTTCACTCACTGGAAAGTAGTTTGACGCAGTTTATACTTGTTACATGTAGCATTTTCACAGCTATATATTATTTAATTTTATAAATACATTACAGTTAACTTGTCTCTTGACTTTGGGGTTACTCTAATTTTTATATTTTGATGAAGAACACTGCTGTGAACATTCTTTTGTCTCTAGCGTATATTGGTATGGTTTTCTTTTGGGTATACCTGGGAATTGCTAGTTATAAAGTATATGTAGTTTAGCTTTAAGTAGTTGCTAAACAGTTTTCCAAAGAGATTATTGCCAATTTACACTTCAACTAGCAGTGTATGAAAATTCCATTTACTTTATTTTTTTGCCAACACTTGATATTCTGAGTCTTTAAAAATTTATGCAAGGATTTAATTTAATTGTAGAAAAAGCGATCCATTGTGAACCAGTTTCCAAGGGAGACAAAACATTGTCTTTGTGCCATTTGATGCTTGTAAACTTTCCATACAATGTGTACCTTGGGATGAGAGCTCGCTGAGACGTGTTGACATTTTCATTTCTCTTATGAATACGTTTTGTTTTGTTTTTAACTTTTTATTGTGAATTGAGTGATAGTTTACATGGGATTACATCGATTTTACACTCATTGTTTCATTGCCATGATTACAATCCCCTCTGTGCATCATCATTCAGTAGTATTTGCTTCTATTCCCTCTGTTTGTTTGGGGATATTTGTGTGTGTGTGTGTGTGTGTGTGTGTGTGTGTGTGTGTGTAAGATGTTCACCAAAACACTAAGGAATATATAATAATTGAAACAGCCAAAGGGCACATTCTGCAATCCTGCCTCCTGGCTGCCAGCGCACAGTCTTTCTCTTTCCGTGAGTCTAGAGTCTTCAGCTGCTCTCTCTCTCCATGTCCTCATCTCTGCATCCATTTCTGGTGTCGCTGCTTAATATGTTTTTCAGAGCTCTTCTGAAAATTCCATTTACAGATAATTCTTGGAGAGAGAAAACTTTATAAAGGGTATACAAAATGAGAGGGAAAAAGACCAGCATTTAAATCAGATGCCTTAGACAATTTCAGCAAAAGGCAATAGAAAAAGAACCCATGCATTTGTATACATTACCACAGTTAAGACTGTTCAAAACACAGTGCCTTGTGCTTTGATAGACACAGCTGGCTAAACAAAGAGAAGCAATTAGTTATAGAATAATCCCTGTTCCTCAATACTATAACAATTTTTTTTATTGTAAATATCTGGTAGTTTTATATCTTTGTACAGGAAATGATCCTATAACAAGTATTTATTTTGCTCTTTCTGAGTATGTAACTAATTTTTTTTCTTTTTCTATTGCAGCAAAATTCATACCAACCAACCAACAAAGGAAGATACAAAGTCTTATAGACATCTGGAAAAAGTTTTACCTGGGTTCAACTGTGACACATGTGGCAGTTGTCTGCAGTTTACAATGTATATAAATTAAGATTTTTTAAAAAATTCTGTCTTGCTGATTCTTTAAATACAAGAAATCAGTGTTTGCTAAGGAGATCTTCAATTAGTAAGTACCCGCTGAGTGATCAACCTATATTTAAAGCAGGCCTGTTTTCAGAGTATGACTTCCTTCAATGTACAACTTAAATATCAATAAATGCATTTAAATATCTCCGTGATATTCCAGAGACTTAAAGTATTTGAAGTATTTGGGCTTTCCATTGATGTTAATAATACACACAAATCACTAAAGGAACTATTCAATTCATCTTATCCTCTTAGAATGAAATTGTGATCATCTCCTGAGAAAAAGCCAAGTTCCCCATGTAATTTTGTGTCCCCCTGACCTTAAAACTTACTTGACTCAGTGGAACAACATAAACTGGACTTAGAACATTATAACACAATTTTGTACAAAATGGGTTTAGAGATTTTGTTTTAATTTTTATCATCAGAAGTCATTAATTGTTGGGCTACTTATGGCTTTGTAAAATTCCAAGATTTCTAGTGTAAGAGTTTTTTGCATCTCTTTACATTGTAGAGTTTCAGGATTTACTAGTTTTCGTAGGTGCTCCTCTCTGCTTCTAGCATCTAACTTTTAAAATCTTCCTTAAAAGAAAGTGATTTGTAATCTACAAAGAGTAAATATGATCCTTTGTTACCCTGAAAGTGTTTGCTTGTACATATGTACATATGGCATGTACAAACACTGTATATGTTTTTTCTTAGGTTTATTCAATAGGCTATGAATTCTCTTTCTTTAAAAATCTTAAACATAATAGTACCCAGGTTTTAGACTTAGACTTCAGCTTCTGTCAGTCATATTAATTCAAAAGGAACCATAAATTATATTTTTGAGCACTTCAATACGTTTTCCAAATAATTTAAGTTGTGGTAATTGGATTACCTAATATTACTGCCTGGTAGCGTAGTGGTTAGGAATCGTGCTGCTAACCTCAGGATCAGCAGTTCGAAACTACCAGCTGTTCTGCAGGAGAAAAATGAGGCTTTCTGCTCCTGTAAAGATTTACAGCCTCAGAAACCCTGTACAGGGTCGCTATGAGTCAGAACCGACTCCACAGCACATAACAACAACAACAACAATATTCCTGCCAAGTTTCCTGGTATACTAGAATTCCATATTGTCACTTCCTGAAAATAGAGATTTCTCAGGAAGTTACATATAGATTATATTTCTTAAATTAAGAGACAAATTCTTTTTTATATTCTTGCCTTCCAGTTTTCAAAGACGTAAAACAATGCATACTATAGTTGTTAAAACTAATCATTTTCTTAATAGCTGATTAAATGTCTTAATTGACAGGGAATATTGATCATAACTTCCTCAATATAGTTATCCTTACTAAGAAAACTAAACATGCTAGCACAGATTTTTGGATTCCTTACCCATCATCCACTTACTTACGGCAGGATACAGAAAAAACTTACGTAACAAATGAACTAAATAAACCATTTACTATAAAATTCAAAGCATCTTGGGTTCCTTTTTTCCCTCCAGTTTATTTATTTCCTTATTTTTATCACCAAATAGGAGTTTTACTTTCATAGTCTCTATGGCAGTCCCACTCTGGTGACAATTGGTGCTCCTTTGAACCACCTGGATCACTTTAAGATTCAAAACTTCACATCATTTCAGCATTACCTTTATGCTTGTATATCTAGTGATGAGCTGATATTGTTTTCTTCTAAAATGAAACACATTACTCTGTTAGTACATTTTTTGTTGTCACACTGATTCTTTTTAACAGTTTTGATGATGTATAAACTTTCATTTGTTTTTTAATACAATACCAATATTTGCTTATGTTTTCTAAATTCCTTATAAATAAAGTAATTTAATCTGCATTTTCCTAAAAGTTTTTTATTGAAATGTTTTCTGCTGTTTCTCTCTCTTTTTTTTTTTAACAGTAGACAACATGTGAGTAAGAAATACTATATTCTCTGTGTCTTTATTTTTAAAATTTTTACCAACTACTCAAAATATTACAGTTCTCTCCCAACAATACCCTTCTGTATAAGCCTCAATTAATTTTTGTTGCATTTGACATAAGACAGACAGGTTATTTGTCAAATAGTAAGTCCAGGTGCTAGTTAGGGTTTGTTACAATAGCATTTTTATAAAATGGAAGCATAGAATGAAAGGGTATCATGGGCTGGGTTCTATGGAGCAGCAAAACCAGTGAAGCTTATCTATGTGTCTATATTTTCTAGTTATAGTTTAGTACTGTCAAGTTATAGTTTAGTACTGTCAACTCATAGCAAATCCATATAGGGTTTCCAAGGAGCAGCTGATGGATTTGAACTGCTGACCTTACAGTTCAAGCCAGCTTTATGGTCCAGTGTGTATCTTACAGCGCCATACCAGGATTCCAGATGCATACATGTTGTTGGTAAGTGCTTTTGAGACAGTTCTGATTCATAGTGGCCCTGCATCGGGTCTCTGAGGCTGTAAATCTTTATGGGAGCAGAAAGCCTCATCTTTGTCCTGCGGAACAGCTGGTAGCTTAAAACTACTGACATTGACTTGTAACTACTAAGCTACCAGAGCTCCTTATATAGAGAGAGGTTTATTGCAAGGAAATGACTCAAGGCGGGCAAGTTCCAAGTCTGTGGCTTAGTTGCCAGGCTAAAGACTTCTCCTGACTGACATAGCTGCAGGAGCTGATGAATCCAAGATCGGCAGGTCAGACAGCATGCTTCTGGCTGCAGAGGCAAATGCATTCATGGTCAGATAAGGTTGCAGGTTGTTCACAGGATCAGCAGGCAATACTCTGGCTCAAGTCCAAAGAACTGGAGGTCAGATGCTGAGATACAAGCAGTATCCAGACCCAGCAAAAAGCAAGCAAGCTTTGCCTGTGTTCAGTATACTGGAAGCAGGCCACATCCCTGAGGAAATGCCTTTTCAGTCTGCTACTCATAGGAGATCTCCTCATGGTGGTTATATCCGATGTCATCATGGGGGATTACTACATCTTAACTACCAAACCACTGAGAATTCTGACTCATTCAAGTTGACACTAAACCTTATCTATCACAATCTACCCTTTTCAACTTGACACATGTACACACCTCCTTAAATTGTATATAACATCTAAATAAAGACAATTATAAAGCCATAATTGAGCCTAGCATGTTACAAATAACATGTACAACCAGAAATTGTCTATTTACATCTTATATTATAAATGAATAAAACAAAAATGTTTGATGCACACATACAAGGAAAACCCCCCAAACTTACAACAATTACAGTCCTTGTTTCTGTACCTGGCTAAATTTCTATTAAAGTTCTCTCCCAATAATATCCTTCTGTAGAAGCCTTATTAATGTTGGCTGCATTTGACATAAGACAGGCAGGCTATTGGTCACATAGTAAGACAGGCTACTGGTCAAATAGGGTTTACTACAATAGCATTATTATAAAATGGAAACAGAATGAAAGAAATTAGAACTACCTTCTGCCACCCCCCTTCTTCCTCATTAATCACCTCAGCTGGTCATGGTTCTTTGCCTGATTGTTTTTTTTTTTACGTGTAGTAAAGTCAGGTCTGACTTATAGCAAACTTACAGCACAGTAGAATGAAACACTGCATGGTACTATGCCATTCACACATTGGGGGTCTTACTCTTTTGCTGACCTTCCACTTTGCCAAGCATGATGTTCTTCTCCAGACACTGTTCTTTCCTAACAATATGTCTAATGTATGAGGGATGGTCTCCCTAGCCTCGTTTCTAAGGAGAATTCTGGCTGTGTTTATTCCAAGACAGATTTGTTTGTTTTACTGCCAGTCCATGGTTTCTCTACCATCATAATTCAAATGCATTTTTCTACAATCTTCCTTATTCATTGTCTAACCTTCAAATTGACTACGTAGTGGTTACGAATC